TGGTCTTCTGAGACTGCCTCACACAGTCCAGGCTGGCTTTGCTTTCCTGACCCTCCTGCCTCACCCTCTTAAGTTCTGGAATTTCTGGAGTGTGTAGCACACACTGGTGCACTACATGTGTGAAGGGTTTTCTTGCTCATCACTACATATGTAAAGGGTTTTCTTGCTCATCAGTGCTCTGATTTGCCCAGCACACCACCTAGTGCTCACACACTGGCACAGCACTGATTCAGTCTACACATGTCTGTGGCAAAGGTCGGCTGCTTAAGTCCTCTTCTCACGTCAGTGTGATGCGGTCTCAAACCTAGACAGCCATATCCGTTTGGCTCAGCAGAGATGCCACCATCCATCATGAGCAAAACTTGGTCCAGATACCTAGACTGCTTTCTCAAAATGTTGACACTCACAGTCCTATCTCCACCCCTAGCAGACTCAAGAAAAGACTGCCATTACAAAGAGTTTACAGAGCACGCATGCCTGAGTCCTGCAGTTGAAATGCTACTAACAAAGGGAGTTACAGGGTCCCTCTTTGTCCCCAAGAAGTTAAAATAGTATTGGGCAGCAACACAGAGAAACAGTGAGCTTAGTCAGGGTGGTCTATGGTTCTACCCATGTGTTGATAAACGTGAGCTACAGAATTGAAGGACAGTCTACGGTGCAAGGGAAATGAAGTGGACCTTGAAGAACAATAAGGACTTACTATAGGGGAGGATGAGAAGTACTCTAAGAAGGAGACACTTGGGTGAAAAAACACAAAGATGAGAACAAAGATATTCACTATAAAAAAAAAACCCTATATATCATTAAGGACTGTGAATGCAGGAGGCTTAGGCTAGCAGGTCAGAAAAGAAGATCATTATAAAGGGGCTGGAGAAATGACTCAGTGGTTAAGTGCACAGCCAGTCTTCCAGAGAACCTAGGTTTGGCTACTAGCACCCACCTGGGGGCAAATAACCATCCATAAATTTAGTCCCAGAGGATCTGTCACCCTCTTCTGGCATCCCTGGGCACCAGGCAAGCACTAGGTACACAGACATACATGCAGGAAAAATACCCATACATATAAAATAAAACAAAGGAAAACATGTTTAGATTATTATAAAAAGAAAGCTGAAATGCAGAAGAACTTTGGACTTAAACTTATTTATAGGTAGTATGCAGGTTACAGTTTAAGGGTTCTGGATTAGGATTACAATCAGAGTCATACAGGCTAGCTGATCACTGGCATAGATACAAGAAGACTGTCCTGTGATCTGGTACAGGAAAAAATATCAAGACTTGAAATCTGGCCTAAGTAATAGCTTCCCAATCAAGGGAATCACGGTTTTGTAAGGGTGATGCACCTGAGTTCTCACACCCTGGGCTGTAACAACCCTGAGCCACATCACAGTGCCTTTCACACAGGCATGGGGAAGGTGACTAGCTCACGGTGCAATGAGTGTGTGTGTATGAGTACATATATACATATGCATAAATTTACTCAATCAGTTCTGTGCTGTTCCTCTGAAGAACCCTGACTAATACACTGACATTTACTGTAATAACAAGTAACAATTTCAAACCCAAGGCCCAGACTCAGCAGTGGGCAAACAGAAGGAATCACTTTCTGTTTTGTGATTGCTGTGTGAAGGCAACAGCAGCTTCACTGGAGCAGCCCCTGTAGCCTGCTCCCAGCAGAAGACTGTAGGGACTCCTTGATTAAATGGAGTTGAATCACTTTTCTGAGTGGCTCAGAGCAAATCAATCAGTATAAATCATAATTACAGCTATCACTTCTTAAGGAATGTATTATGCACCAGACACGTGGCATATTGCACCACCTAACCTGACCTCATAGAAACTGGAGGAGAAATCAGTCTCAGTGTCTCTCTCCCTCCCTCCTTCCCTGTCTCTCTCTCTTCATTTCTCTCTCCCTCCTTCTCTCTTCCCTGGATACCAAACCCAAGACCTAGGTTCTCACCTATGAGCTAGGTGAGCATTCTGCTGCTGCAATAGAGTCAAAGCCCTTCCTTTAGTTCAAATGAGGGAGATAGGAGTCAGAGATGCTGTGACTATGCAGGGTGCCCCAAATCAATGCTGTCTGCTCTGACTTTGGACTTCAGCTATGGTGGTTGACAGTCCCCCCGCCTTCTTTGGCCATGAGCTGCCTAAAGGGTCCTGATTCCTCGTTCCTCATGTGCATCTTTGCTAATGTCACATCCTACCCAAGACAGCTAGCTTCCCCCATACATCCCTTCACTTACCTATCTGCCGGCAGGCTTCTCGGCATTCTGTCACTAATAATATGCTTTTGATTAAATGTTCCATCTTAGGAGCATGCCTGCAGTCTGCATGCACTGGATTAATTTTTAAAAGGACAAATGTAGTCGAAGGTTAGTTATGGAATTACACTTTAAGGGCATCCAGAGGTAGAGCACAGCGAGAGTATGCATTCCTAGCATGTGCGAGGTTCTGGGCTAGGGATGAAATGGGGATTTAAAAAAACATTGTACTTTAGGCAAAGAACCAATTAATTCTATTGGCTTTTTTTCTTTTCTTTTTAAGATTCAAAATTTTATTTTTATTTATATGTATGTATATGTGTAAGTATATATGTACACCATTTGGTGCAATAACCAGCGGAGGCCAGAAGTATCAGATATCCTAGAACTGGAGTTACAGCGAGCGGCACAAGTTCTGAGAACTGAACTCAGATCCTCGGCAAGAACAGTCGGTGCTCTGAAGTACTGAGCCATCTTTCTAACCTCTGCCCTGCCTCTTTTTAAGAAATACTATAAAACAGAGTCTAAGAAAGATATCTTCCCTAAACCAGGACTGTGGTGATATTTGTTTGTGCTGGATCAACTAAAGCTTGTTTTATTTATCATCTCTCTTTTCCTACCCTTGCACAGTCCAGGATCGCCTGCCAACAGCAGTGGGCAGGTCCTCCACCTCAATTCATATAACTAAGACAGTCCCCCACAGACACATCCACAGGCCAACCTGATCTAGTCAATCATTCGTTGAGATTCCCTTCCCAGTGATTCTAGATTATGTCACATTAACTGAAGCTAATCACTAGCAGTTAGTAATTGAGAGCGCTTGCTAGTCTTGCAGAGGGTCTGAGTTCAGTTCTCAGCATCCACATCTGTAACTCCAGATCCGGGAGAATCTGATGCCTCTGACTGCTTTAATCACCTGTACTCATATGCTGCGAGACAATGGTCTTGTATTGTTTTAATAAAACGCTGACTGGCCAGTAGCCAGGCAGGAAGTAGAGGCAGGGTGACCCAGGCAGGAAGTAGAGGTGGGGAATAGAACAGGAGAATTCTGGGAAGTGGAAAAGCTGAATCTGCAGGCATCATCCAGAGGCAGAGAAAGCAAGATGAGAATGCCTCGCTGATACAAGGTACCAAGCCTGCTGCTAACACAGACAAGAATTATGGGCTAATATAAGTTATAAGAGTTAATAAGAAGCCTGAGCTAATAGACCAGCCAGTTTATAATTAATGTAGACCTCTGCATGTTTCTTTGGGACTGAACAACTGTGGGACTGGGTGGGACAGAAACCTCCGTCAACACTCATATGCATACACCAGCATACACATAATTTCAAAAAAATAATACATCTTTAAATAGAAGAAGCTAACTATACTGGAACTAATCAACATCAACCAAAAAAAAGGCATATCCTCTTTTTTCTTTTAAGTTCCATTTGTCTTTCAAGACCATTATAAGGTGGTTCCTCTTTGGGCCAGTGACTTGGCTCAGCAAAATAAAGATTCTTGCCACCATCGCTGAACTTGATCCCTAGTATCTACATAGTGGAAGAAAATGGACTGGGGCAGGCATGTGCCCCCTACCAATACATAAATGTGACAAAATAAGATGTTTAGGGACTCTTCTCCATTTCTCACAGTTATCATTCCCCCAGTACTTTTTTTCTTCTAAAATTTTATTTTTCCCGCTATAAAATAAATATGTTTTCATCAGAGAATATAGAAAACATCCAATAACAAGGGAAGAAAATCAAACAGACAAACAAACAAACAAAAAAACTCTTGTGATGTCTAAAACCACAATGTAGTCAAGGCTGGCCTTGAACTCCTGATTTACCTCCTCAACCTTTCAAGTGCAGGGATGACAAAGGTTTATCACCACACAGTTTTACCCAAGGCCAATGTGTTAAAGGCCTTGTCCTCAGGGCCTACTGAACAACAGTAGCATCTTTAAGAGGTAGGGACTAGCTGGGCCTGGTGACACAAGCCTCCCAGCTACTTCAGAAGCTGAGGCAGAAGGATCCTAAGTTCAAGGCCAAGCTGAGCAACTTAGTCAAACTCTGTCTCAAAATAAAATTAGAAAGAGGAGTTAAGGATATGGCTCAGTGATAGAACATCTGCCTGGTGTGTGTGAAGCTCTGGGTTTGTTCCCTGTAGCACTCACCAAAAGAGGCAGGGTTCAATGTGAGGTCTTTGGATCACTGGAGATTATGCCCTTGAAGAAAATCCTGGGAGCCCAACCCTCCTCCACTGCTTCCTAGCCATGGTTAGCAGCTGTGCTCTGGTGAGCTCCTCACCATGGCTATGCAGTATCCTCAGCAGAGCCTCAGTGCACTGCTCCCTCTAATCACGCACTGTATCTTTAAGACCAGGAGCCATAACAAGCCTCCTTTTTTTCTTGCTAACCATCTCAGGTATTTGCTAGAGGTGCAAAGCTGACCCAAAGGCAGCACTTACCCACCTCTGTACCACTGGCTTCACCGGCCTGTATGGTGACTGCTTATGGGGGAGCGACCCACACCTTCCTAGCCTCCCCCAGGCCTACCCAGAGCTCACCCCCAGCATAACGCCCACCGGCTCCCAGTTTACCCAGCTGCTTTATTACAAGGCTTCTCTGCACATATGGAAGCTGAGCCATTTGTGTTCACACTTCATTAGAGAAGAATGAGGTTGACTCTCTGCATTAGCCTAAACACGTAGAACCACACTCCTGTCTGAAGCCGGGCAGGCACTTGTCCTTACCTGCATGCCTCTCATTTTCTGGAACCGTGCAATGGTGTCACTGAGGGTGTAGACTCGTACATGGCCCATGTGCAGCTTGCCAGAAGGGTATGGGAACATGGAGAGCACGTAGAATTTGGGCTTTGCTTTCTAGAAAAGAGTGACAAAAGATGACACAGAGTGTTTGTTACAGATTTTCTGGGGGCTCTGCATACACTAATATTTTGGCACTTTACTCAAGGTAATAATTTAACATTTAGAAAACTTCCTTAGAGAAAAGAAAAACCTGCCAGGCAGTGGTGGCACACACCTTTAATCTCAGCACTTGGGAGTCAGAGGCAGTCAGAGCTGTGTGAGTTCAAGGCCAGCCTGGTCTACAGAACGAGTTCCAGGACAGCCAGGGCTACACACAGAGAAACAAAAAACCAAAGGAAAAAAAGAAAAAAAAAAAAAAACCCTGTTCTTATTATGTAAATTGGCAAAAATGTTAAAACCTCCAAAATCCAAAGGTCCTGGTTTAAGTTAAAGAATGTCCACAATAATCCAAAACAATGTGTAAGTGCTAACTAATTAGTCTTGATATCTTCAATTCTTCACCCTCTTCCAAAGCAACTCTCCTAAAGCAGGTCCTAGCTAAGTTTTCCAAATGACTATTTTTGGACTATTTTTCCAAATGAGCTGCTAACACAGATCCACATTATTTAAGTAGAAGAGGTTGAATACAAAGAGATCTCCATAACCAGAGTTTCCTCCCCAGCTCCCCTTGACTGCATCCACCTCTGTTGTCTGCATCTGTCCTCTGTTGACAACAAGGCCACCAGGTATTAGATGGGTCCTGAAGTCTCTCCTGTGCGCTCTGAGTTTCTCTTTCAACAAAAAAGGCTAAAGTGGAAAACCATGATGGAATCAACCATGAAAGGAACACCACTGGTTGTTTCCCAGAGGTGATAAATAGGCAAACACAGATCAGGGTCATATGATTCTCCAGCTTCCAGCAGCAGCAGCATGAAAAACACAGGAAATCTACACATCTGCCGAGAATGAAGACAGGACAGGTAATGACGTCACTAGCGTTGGGTACCCTCAATCTTCCAATGGTAGGACGGCAAATGCTGTCAAAAGTTTGTGTACGTCAGAAAACAAGGTCCTGGGTCTAGTCACGGAGCTGGTTACTTTTGGGAGACCTGGTACTTTTGCTGCTTGTGGAAAATTCTGCAGTGCTGGGCATAGAACTGGGAGATCATACATACGAGGTGAGAGCTGCATCGCTGCAGTTCATGCATAACCGCAAGGATTTTGTGTCATCTCTATACTCACCACCCTGCCACCTATCAGGACAGCAGTAAACAATTCTTAAGTTAATGCTCGCTGGCCTTTGGGGAAGCACCTTCTAACAAAGACAAAGCCGTCCCCCCAGCAGACTTTATAAATCCTGTCCAGGTACCCAAGCCTCAAATCCTGCCATGGGGCATCTCGAAAAGAGATAGGTAACTGCTGCTGGTGGTCACTGAGGATGGGCCATCTACCGTCACACTATTGTTAATTTCGGCCTTCTGGCTCTCTCTTTTTGGTGTCTGCTTCTTCCTTGAGCTTTAGGAAGCATCAAGACTTCACTTCTCTCAAAGCAGTGAATATAAACACAGACAGAAATTCACAGCCCTTCCTGTGTATGAAGGTGATGTTTAGACACTGTTGGCTAGTATTTGCACGACTGATGACGGACATGGCCAACTTGTAACTGTTGATACCAATTGTTGCTGAGCAGGGGTGGCCTTTAATCCCAGCACTGGGGGGAGGGCAAAGACAAGAAAATCTCTGTAAGTTCGAGGCCAGTCTGGTCTACAGAGTGAGTTCCAGGACATCTGGGCTACACTGAGAACACCTGTCTCCAAAAACAAAACAAACAAACAACGATTAACCTGACAGGTTCTAGCAAAGTCCGGGCATGTCAGTCAACACAGGTTAACTGAGGACCCAGGGTAAATGTGATTAGTACCGTTCCATGGGCTCAGGTCTATGAACTGAAAAAGAGACAGGAAGACGAGCAGCAGTGAATAGTATAGCTGGCTTACTATAGATAACATGTGAGCAGCTGCCTCCCACCCAGACTGTATGCTCCAAAACTGTGAGCCAATATGGACCCTTCCTTATGTTGTTTCTGCCTGATATCTGACCACAGCAACAAAAATAACTAACACACAACTTGAATCAGGGAAGCAGCAAAGTAGGTGTTTTGTTTGTTTGATTGGTTGGTGGGTGGGTGTGGGGGGGGCAGAATTTTGCTATGTAGCATAGTTTGGCCTCAAAGTAGCAACAATCCTCCTGCCTCTGCCTCCAGAGTACTGGGATTATAGGTGAACATCACCACGTCATTCACAGTTTCTTGCCAGGTTTTTAAACTTCAACAAAGGTTTTAAACTCTTAGCAAAATCACATACAACAGCTAACCACTGCCCCCTCCAAAAAGAAAACCACTAAAGCACAACTTTTCTCTGTCCTGTCTGCCCTCTAGAAATGAAAAAGGCAGTAAGTAAGCAGCACCACCCAGAGAAAGAAACACTTTTTAAAGTTTTAATCAGAATCTGGAGAATACAAAACTAAAGCATCCTCTGTACTGCTGGAAGAATAATGATTTAAATAAGCAGAGTGGAGGCAGGGAATAGAAGATCTCAGTCAGAGTGAGGAGCCACCGAGTCAGGCTGGTGTACACTCAGGGACTTCACTGTTTGCAAGACTAGGTCAGCCCAGTGGTTTAGTTCCATGACTCAGTGCTTGTCCAGCCTGCACAAGGTAATGGGTTCACCCTTGGCACCGGGGAGAAGAAACAGAAAATCCTTTCCCCTTGTGAACGTGTTCTTATGAAAGGTGAAAACCCCAAGTTCTACTAAGTGCAAAAATAAAACTGTCTCCTTCACTGAAGCCTTTCTCCTACTGGCAATGGTTTAGACCCCCATGGCTTTGCTTTGGAATCTTGAGTACTACAGGAAAAAACTGTAATCACGCTCCATAGGAGTTAGAAAAGTAACTAAATCTTTGACATAAATTATCTGTAGGGTCTTTTGTTTTCTGAGACAGGGTCTTGTTTTGTAGCCCAGGCTTCTTGACTGCTAGGACTACAGTACAGGCCTGTGCCACACTTGACCTATTTCTAGTTTTTGACTTTCAAGTTATTATGTAAAGCGATTTTATTATAATCACCCTATCTTCGTATACTATTTATTACATAATATTAATTATCAACCTTGTTCAAACATTTTCTACCCACAGCTTCTTCACTAGCCTCTCCCTTTTCGTATACTTGCTTGTTCAATGAAGATTAAATTAATGACATCAAATACTTCATCATAGACTAGCTAAGATGAACTCCAAACCTGAGTTCTTAAGAGAAAAGCAGAAAAGCAACACTACAGAGTCTTGATCCTCATGAACATTTTTGTATTTGCAGAAAATATATTCAGCCTACTGCCTGTCCCTGCCTTGTGATTTTTTTTTCTGTGAATTAAGTCATTCTCCTCTGTGACAATGAAATGAGTTCTATCATCTGGAGGTGGAAAAGAGAGGAGAAATGACAGGAATTTGTGTTATAATTGAGTAGGAATCTGACTGAAAGGGAAATTTTCATAATTACATAAAAGTGCAGGAACTCAAGCCTTTGAGAGAAAGTACAAATGCCGGCAGTGGGAAGAAGATGGCTTCTAAAAGCTGGTACCATATTTCCATCAGACTGTGATTAGAACATGACTTCTGCCTCTACTCTAACGCTGTGAAAGAGCCCCCACTGGCACTCAAAGCCTCCAGTTCCCACCCTCACTTTGCCATGAGATGTGAGGCCTCAGACAAAACCCCAGGCCTTCCTAGGCACAGTCTATTCTCCACGGATGACTGATACAGAGTTTCCAGACAGCAAAGCTCTCAGAGGGTTGGGCGGATGTAGTGAGGGGCTGCGGGCAGGCCTGCTTTTCGCCTCACCCGGCTCCTGCACAGCTAGCTTAGTCCCAGAAATAACAACACACAAATTGTATTCATTTAAGCACTGCCTGGCCCATTATCTCTAGAGAGTTAGTTACTGGCTAACTCTCACATCTTGATTAACCCATTTCTAATCATCTGTGTAGCATCACGAGGTCGTGGCTTACCGGGAGAGATTCAGCATGTCTGACCTGGCGGTTGGTTCCATGGCGTCTGCCTCATAGCCCTCTTCCCAGCATTTTGTTCTGTTTACTCCATCTACCTAATTTTCTGTCCTATCAAGGGGCCAAGGCAGTCTCTTTATTGACCAATGAAAATAACACAATAGACAGATAACCCTTCTCCATCAGGCGGATCCCAGCGTGGCACACTGCCCGAGCTTCAGTGTTTTAACCCCACAGGTAAGGACAATGCCCACTCTCAAGGCTGTTCTGATATTAAGAAACTCAACCAATGGAAGTGGTACATGGTAAAATGCTCACTAAATGGAAGTTGGTCCTTTTGGGTTTTTTGGTTTTGTTTGTTTGTTTGTTTGTTTGTTTGTTTTTCAGGGTTTTTCTCTGTGTAGCTTTGGAGCCAGTCCTGGCACTCATTCTGTAGACCAGGCTGGCCTTGAACTCACAGAGATCCACCCATCTCTGCCTCCCAAGTGCTGAAATTAAAGGCAAGTGCCACCAACACCTGGCTTTGTTTTGCTTTTTAATGGTGGTTTGATGATGATGGCAAGACACCTGTCTTCTAAACGCTCACTTGGGTGGATTTCAAACGTACGTAATACCAACGTGAGGTGAATGCTAAAGCTTCATATACAGCAGTGTTCAGTTAGTTCTCGGTCACTGGTAAAATAGCACACGATTTTCTCTGCTATTTTATTTATTTATTTATATAACACTTCAGTTTAGAAGTCTTCAGTTTAGGAAATGTCCAGCCACATTTTCTCATTTGATTTTCAAAACAAACTTGTAAGATAAACAACGCGAGGAGCCAAGAATCGTGGGGCTTAGAGGAATGGCCAAGTTTTCATTGTAAATTACTCAATTTTCCTTTTTAGTGTTCATGTTTTTGTTATATACTATATCTCTCTTAACTCCAGATCTGTCCAAGCAATGTCAAAACCACTTTCCATTTGGATATGAACAGCTCCCACCCTCACAGAAGGAATGAGTGTGACTCCAATGAGGACAGAAAAGGCAAGCCCAATACAGTGTCAGTTGCAAGGACAACTCAGCCTTTTGTCCTTGGCCCCACCTAAACAATTCCACGAACATCTCTACTATTGGGTTGCTACTATTACAAAGGGATAGTCAAGATATCAATAAAACAGTCTTCTGGTCTAATTTTCTCTGGTCTAATTATAACAGGAGTCATAGAACATTCCAGAGACATTAATAACAGCTAAATACATGATACAACTGATTTGGGCAGAGGGACTGGGACCAGAAGCCAAGGTCCATGGATCCACTGAGATGCTGCAAGGCTGGACCCAACTTCAGATCACATCAAAGAACAGGCTCCCTCCCATGGCCATGATGCTCAAGTGACAGAGCAGGTTGTAGGCCAAGTCTGGAGCAGAAAGGGCCTGATGCTTCTCACCTCACGTAGCCTCCTGACAGAGTCACAGGCCTCTCTCCTGTAATTTCACATATGACCTGTTATATCCATGGGTGGCATCCTAACACAAAACCAAAAAGGACCCAGCACCTGCTAATACTTCTGTTTTGTTCAGTTTCCCCCAATCAAAGCATCCCAGAATATCTACTATGGGGCTGACTGTCACACAACTGTGTACAATACTAACATGGACACAATCACCACACTGGAAAGGATTTTGTGCCTTAACTTTGCATCACCTCCTTTGCTCCTCTCAAAAATCCTCCTGGGAGCCAAGGGGGTGCTATTATCACCCTTCATTTTAGATAAGAAAACGAAAGCACAGAAAGACTCAATAATTTGATTTAATGTCACACCCTTAGTAACTTATCCTAAACAAAATAGTGTGAGCCCAGAGTCAAGTCCTCAGTTCCTCTTCTTTACTGATATGGCTTAAATGTGCAGTGTCCTCCACAGGACCATGCGTCTGCACACTTGCTCCCCAGCTGGTGGTGCCATTGGGAAAGCTGTGGAAGCATTAGGAGGGAGAGCCTTTCTGGAGGAAGTGGGTCCCTGGAGGTGAGCCTTGAGGTTCTACAGCCCAGTCCCCCTTCCGGTCTATTCTCTGCCTCCTGACACACGGATGCAATGTGACCGGCCACCTCATGTTCCTGCCAGACTGCCATGCCTGGCCTGTCGTGCCATTATGGACTCTACACCCTTAACTGTAAACCACAACAAACTCTTCCTCCCTCAACTGCCAACACCAACAAGGGAGGCAACTGTCTACCTGCCCTCCCGGCACACTCACGTCTTCTTCTGAGATCCTGGATGCCTGCTCCTTTATCTGTTGGTGCCACCATTTCTCCACATCCTTCCTTGTCTGCAGGGTGTACTCCTTCGTCCACTTCCCTGTGGCACTGTAAATACTTCTGGCACACCCTGGAATTATTCTTCTTTCCCACCGGATGACAGGTGGCCCACAAATGAGCTGCCTTTTCAGAAGAGAGGCATAAAAACTCAGCCTCTGACAAGCTGATGCCATTCTTCAGGAGGGAAGACCCTAGAAAAGAGGGCAGAGAAAAGAAGGCAGTTAGAGAGGTGCCCACGAAGCAGCAGGAGACAGATGCCCCGGAACCTTACTGGTAAATCACAAGCTTCATGGTAAAATATAATATAATAGTAATGGGTTAAAGATGTAAGAGTTAGTTAAAAAGAAGCCTGAGCTAATAGGCCAAGCCGTGCTTTAATTAATATAGTTTCTGTGTGATTATTTCAGGTCTGGCGGCTGGGAAATGAAAGAGCAGTCTCCATTTACAGTTTCCTAGCAGAACATTTTAGAAATTCTCTTGAATTTGATACAAAGTTCTTACTGGAAAACATAAAGGCACTCCATGCCCCAAATGCCAAAGGTATAAAACACTCACAGAAACAGAGGGAGTCCATCACAAAGAGCAGTTGCTACAGAGCTTGCTGTCAGCATGGGAGGAGAGGGAGCTCCTCCCTCCAGAGTCTATCAACTGCTGTTGTCTGAACCCAAGAACTCTAAGCACATCTTGTTTAGCCTTGAGATCAAATATGAGAAGGGATCTGAATATAGGTCTCTCAAAAATTCTGAACTAAGTTAACATTTTTCATTATATTAGGTTCACACACTGTTGCAAGCACTACAGATACAGTAACAAAGAGTCCCAGGCTGAAAAGACAGAGTACGTGTTTAGCATGTTTGAAGCCCTGGTATCCATCCCTAGCAAGCAAAAACATAAGACAAAGTGCCTTCTTTCACAGCAACTAAATATACAGGTAAGACACACATAAACACGGGACATCACCAACTATACAGAGGAGAAGCAGGTAAGACATACATAGACACGTAACATCACTAACTATACAGAGGAGAAGCAGGTAAGACACACATAAACACGGGACATAACTAACTATACAGAGAAGCAGATAAGACACACATAAACACATGACATAACTAACTATACAGAGAAGAAGCAGGTAAGACACACAGACACGTGACATAACACGCAGCAGCGACGTCATAGAACTCTTTGGATTACAACACCATGTGGGGATCCCCAGCATAACCGCCTGGGGATCAAATTTTAATTCTGATATTTTGTTGGTTTCCTCCTCAGGTGAATGGCAGAAATGGCCTTGGTGAAGAACTTTTAAGGGGCTGAGGTGAGATCTCACCATTTAGGATGTAGTACTAAACACCTAAAACAGGAAGGTAAAACGACCTTTCGAAAACAAGAGAAACATAAGAAAAGCTGGCATTCTAAACTGGTGTTAACCACCTGGTTCTCTCAAAATCCTTCCCATATCTACTAGGGTTTAGCCTGTTACATGAAGGCACTGGATCAAATGTTGCCAGGAGGGTTACTGCAGGCTTTAAAAAGGGAATTCACACTCAACATGACATGGTTCTGGAGCACTGTACTTATTATTAACAACTTACTTATTGTTGTAAGTTGATCTGCCCACGTTCTTGACACACCAATACCTACTATTTTTAACCCTTAAAGCGCGACAGACTGGCTGACAAACCCTATCAGTTGGGTTTGAGTATTTTAAAATAGGTAAATATGACTACTGAGGAACTAGAGTGAACTACATAAAGCCGGCTAACTATCAGCAATTCTGTACAGCCAACTTTATATAGGGAGGGCACTTACAATTCCTTTTAGGGTTTAGACTTCTATATTATTAGAACTATGTGTGTGAGTCAGAGATTCTATGGTTTTCTTCTATATTTGGTTATGACTCTAGCCTTTTACAGCTGGGCCATCTCTCCAGTCCTATTTTATGGTTTTCTCACTAAGTAAGTGTTCTGAAACTACTATAAGCCAAAGGTACCTAGACAGACATCTGACATTTCTTTCCTAGATGGCATATAAGGGGAATATCTGGACTATTCTCTTTCATAAACAGGAACAGGATAATAGAATACAAACTGACCTGAACTGGTTTGCTGTATTTTGGGATTTGATGATTACCCACCAGGTGGATAAAATGCCAAAGAGTATCACCAACAAGAGCAATAGGAAGGCACAGTAACACTCTGCTTAGTGAGTAATAAGGTTTGCATCACATCAGGCTCCCCAATAACTTCTCTGCTTAAAGCAATGAACTGGAAAACATTGAACCAGATCTAAGTATATACAAGAATTTAAAGCTCATAACGAGGGCTGGTAAAATGGCTTAGCCAGTAAAGGCTCCTGCCACCAAACCTGATCCCTGGGACTCATATGGTAGAGAAGAGAATCAACTCCTGAAAGCTGTATCCATGGCACATGTGCCCACAAACAAATAGATAAATGCAATTAAAGTTCATAAAGAAAACATTGCATGCAGATTAGGAAGGAAAAGGGAACTGTCTCGGCAGCGTGGGTGGCTCGGTAGGTACAGTGCTCGCTGCATCACCATGAGGACCTAAATTCAGAAACTCAGCACCCATGTAAAAATTCCTACAGGTATGATAGCACATATGTTGTATCCCATCACTGGGGGATGGGGTTTATGGAAATGGGGGGACCTCCAGAGCCTGCTGATCAGCCAGATTAGTCGATCACTGAGCTCCAGTTTGAGCGAGAGACCCTATTGAAAAACTAACGTAGAGAGAGATAAAAGCCTAACACTGGGGGCTGGAGAGATGGCCTGTTGTATAGGATCTCCTACAGATCCTACAGATCACTCACAGGTAGCGCACAACCATCTATAACTCCAGTTCAAGGGATCCAATGTCTCTTCTGACTTTCAAGGGTTCCTGCACACATATGATATAGATACATAAACTCATGCACACACATATACACATTAATAAAATAATACATATAAGATTAATTAAATTAAAATTTAAAAACCCTAACATTAACCTCTGGACTCTATATGTGTGCACATGTGTATGTACAGATGTACATCCAAAAAATTAAAACTAACAGGATCTCACTCTATAGCCCAGCCTGTCCTCCAATTCTCTGCTCTTCTGCCTCAGCCCCCTCAGTGCTGGGATTACATGTGTGCCACACAGCTGGCTCTGAAAATGACTGATTATTCAATGTATTTGAGAAAATTTTAAATTAGAGTTCCACCTCAAGCCACAAACTGGCATAAATCCCAGTGTCTTAGAGGGAAGTGGGAATTTGAGACAGGGTTTCACGTTGCCCAGGCTGACCTCAACTAGCACGGAAGACAAGGATGACCTTAAACTCCTAGCTTGGGCTACGGGGAGTTGAGACCCTGCCTTTAAACAAACAAACAAGGGGCAGAAGAGATTGCCCAGCAGGTAAGAGAACACACTGTTCTTGCTAGGATCCTAGTTTGGTTCCATCACCCACAGTGAGTGCCTCATAACTGTCGATGACTCCAGCTTCAGGGAGGTCTGAAGCCTCTGGCCTCCATAAGAACCCACACTCATGTGCACATATATACATGTACAGACACATAATTAAAAATAAACCTTAAGCAAAACAAATTTGGTAAGAAAATCCAAGGGTTAGACATATAAAAGAGATGTTCAGCATATCCCTGGGTTCAATCCCCAACACCAAAAACAAAATAAAACAAATAAATACGGTAAATACGGGGATACAGCGTAGTGGTAAAATAATTCTCTGGTAACATTTGAGGCCACTGCTTCCGTCTCCAGCTGTGCAAACTATAAAGCCCACACTCTTACCCGCGATCATCCTCAGATTCTTATCCATTAGGACACACTAGAAACAAATGTCTGTATTTGTGCCTATGAGACTTCTAAGTTTCAACCCTATTCTCTTCTCTTACTGCCTATGCATAGTTCTGGGTCACTTCAAGTTCCTCTCCATTTAACTCCTAATAGGCATTGCCTTTTCCTGGCATCAAGAGCAGCCATTTTAGCAGAGGGTGGTTGTGGATACAGTGAATGAATATCTCACATTTACAACCATCTTGGACCCTTTCTTCCTTAGAGCTGGCTCATCTTATTTCTTTACTTGCTGAAATGTTGTCTCTTCTTTCTAAAGCATTGCCCCTTCCCCCAGGACACCTCTTTCAATTCAGCCCTGACCTGATCTGGTTTTAAGTGGGGCTTAAGGTTAAAGTAACTGAGAATATGAGGGACCTGAGAAATGGGCCCAAAATGATGACCATAAATAGGGAAATCTAAAGCAATAGTAGGAAACAGGTGAAGAGCTAGAACACAAAGGAGAAGCACATAAAACACCCATGTGTTCCCAAAAGAATATGCAAGAAACCTATTTAGAGGCAGAGGCAGGGGGATTACAGGGCTCAAGGCCAGCTTCATAAAACATTGTTTCCAAAAAACAGGGGAGGAAACCAAGTCAGGTTAGGAAGGTGGGTGCATGCCCATGATCCCAACACTCAGAAGGCTGAGCAGGAGGACTGATTCTAAGTCCAAGACCACGCTGGGCTACATATCAAGCTTAGAGCAACTTGGAATACACAGCAAGACCCGGAATCAAAGAAACAAAATAAATAAGTAAACATACACCTCACCCCAACAAACATGTCTTGCAAAACACAATGTTAAAAAGCAAATGCTAATTCTAATTTCCTGCAGGACCTCAGGCAAGTTATTTCCTACTCCGCGTTCTCTAAAGCTGTGTGCCATGTGGTAGATCCAGATGACTTCTGAGGACCTGCAGGTTCTAATATACTATGGATGTCCCAAGATGTTCTACTGTATGATCTTTGACTGGGTCCAAACCCTCAACTCCGGAGCGAAGATCTAGGGACCGGGGTTAGGCGAGGAGTAGAGGACAATTCAAATATAAAATCGTGTGAAGATGTGCGTTTCTCCAAGCAGGAGTCTGGAGCTGTCAACAGGGTCCAAGGCTGAAAGAACCTGTATACTAGAATTTCGAAGCTTTTCCGGGTTTGGAAAACTGCAAGGTTCAGGGACTGCCGGGGCCAGTCCGCACCTTCACCTCGTGCTCCTAGCGACTGGGACTAAGCAGGGCCTGCCTCTCGTCCTCCGGCTGGGGGTTACCTGCTCACAGGCTCTGGCCTGCACCTCCCTTCTGCCTCATTCCCCAAAGCATTACACGAACGAAGCCCCGCGAGTCACTATGGGCGCCGCCATGTTGGCAGAACAACAACTTTATCAGCAGCGGAGGAAGCGGACACAGACAGGAGAGGCGGAGCCAGGGAGGAAGGGCGCGATGCCTGAACGAAGCGCTGACTCCTCCCCCAGACCGGCCCCGGCCCCGCCCCGCCCCGCCCTGGTCCCGCCCCCTGGTCCGCCCCGCTCCGCCCCGGGCTCGCCCACTGTGCGATCTTTCCTGACTTGATCAAATTCATCTTCACTGGTAGTCTCAGTTGTGGCAGAAACGGGGGAGATGCTAAAGGATAAAGGCATCAGGTGGTAAAAAAGAGCTCTGGAGTGGTTCACGGTCAGAGTTTGAATCTTAGCGCCGCAGAAGCTGCCAACTGAGCTGGTCTGGCCGACTTTTTGATTCATTGTTGAAGCTCTACCATCATATCAGATGATGTAAGTCCAGGAGGAGAATTGCCTAGCCCAGAGGAGAGTAGGAGTAAAGTACACCGGCAGATAGGAAAACAAGCTGTCTCAACAAACACTTAGGAGTTTAATGCACTCCATCACCCTGTACACGTCCCAGCAAGCACTTCTGGCCTGTCTATAATTAAGGAATTTCAAAGGAGCAATGGTGAAATCCTGTCTTTTTAAGGGAGAATTCTAAGAACACATGTGAGAAATCTAGGATGCTGAGATTTTATAATATCGCAAAATGATTGATGTCCAGTAGAGCAAAAAGCAATGTCTGAGAGCCATCTTTTCCTTCAGGACTGAAGTCAACTGTACCTACATAAACAATCCATCCAGTGAAACAGAAAAGGTCCACCTACAAAAAAAAAAAAAAAAAAACACTAGTCTTCGGCCTGTAATATTGGTATCTGTTCCCAAACTGGAAAATGCAAGAATATGAGAAATATAACTTACAATCTAATCCCCTCACTTTGAAAGTGATGGGACATGGCTTTCCTGAGGTCATATACCAAGCACATGGAAGAGCCAGGATTCCAACCCAGACTGCTTGACCCCTCTACCAAGATGAGGTACTTAATGTAAGGTTACCATGGAAGCACTGCCCAGAAGATGAACTTACCACTCTTTTTTTACCCCTTCTACTAAAAATTGATTCTTGGACTGGAGAGCTGGCTCAGCAGTTTAAAGCGCTGACTGCTCTTTTAGAGGACCCAAGTTCAGTTCCCAGTGCCCACACGGCAGCAAACAACTATCTGTAACAACTATGTGGAACTGACACCCTTACACTGACATACAAGCAGGCAAAACACCAATGTTGTTTTTAATGTCTCTATAATTCTATCTTATCAATAAAGACTCAAGAGCCAGATACTGGGGTGAAAACCTGCTAGCTCAGAGAGACAGAAAAAGCACCCAGTTGTTTCCTCCTCCTATATTGTCCCAGATAGAGAGCTTTCTCCTGCCTTCTCAAAAACACAAAAATTAATTAATTAATTAATTAATTAAAAAATAAAGAAAAAAAGAAAAAACAAACCCCCAAAAAACTCCTCCAATGAGATGTCCCTTCTTTCTACTTCCCCTCTCTCCTCCTGACTTCTACTACCCTCTATGTTTTTTTCCTGTCAACAGATTGCTTGCGTTGCTTCTTGACCTATGGTGGATTTCATTTAATCCTGTTGAAAATATTCAAGCAGAAAATTCTTGGATTAAAGGTGTGTGCTAGGGCTGAGCAACACCACAGCTAGAAGCCGGTTTTTCCAGTAAATAACACAATCTCGGGGTTCACAGTGTCATCAACTATCCTGCAATACATCAATGCATATAAAATAAAAATAGATAAAATTAAAAAAACAAGAAAATGATTCTTCTCTCATATAATATATCCTAATTACAGTTTCTCCCTCCCTCTCCTCCACCCTGCTCCTTTCTACCTCCCACCCTTCTGGATCCACTCCCTTTCTGTCTCTCATTAGAAAAGAACAGGCTTCTAAGAGATACCAACCAAACACAACAAAATAAAATATAAGATGATACAAAAACTATATTGAAGTTGGACACTGCACCCCAACAGGAGGAAAAGAGTTCTAGGAGCAAGCAAAAGAGTCAGAGATCCACTTGTTCTCACAGTCCCATAACATTATAGTAGTTTGGGTGTAATTGATCCCCATAAACTCATAGGGAGTGGCACTATTAGAAGGTGTGGCTTTGTTGGCGTGAGTGAGGCTTTGTTGGAGGAAGTGTGTCACTGTCGGGTGGGCTTTGAGGTCTCTTTTGCTCAGTCTACACCCAGGGACAGACTACTTCCTGTTGTCTGCAAAATATAGGGCTCTCAGCTACTCCTCCAACACTACATGTGCCTGCGTATCCCATGTCCAACCATGATGATAACGGCCTGGACCTCTGAATTGTAAACGAGCCACCTCAATCAAATATTTTCCTTTATAAGAATTGTTGTGGTCATGGTGTCTCTTCGCAGCAATAGAAACCCTAAGACAAATACTAAACTAATAACTATGATATATGCACAGAGACCCCGGTGTAGACCTGTGTAGTGCCTGTGCTTGCTGCTTTAGTCTCTCTGAGCGCTTATGGGCCTTGCATAGTTGACTCACGAGGCCTTGTTCTTAGTGTCCACCATTTCCTCCAGATCTCCCAATCTTTCTTCCTCCTCTTCCTTGAATTCCCTGAGCTCTGAGAGGAGGGATTTAATGGAGACCCCCCAATTTAGACTCTCTTGACTTAATGTCTGGTTGCGGGTCTCTGCATCTCTTCCCATCTGCTGCCAGAAGAAATCTCTCTGATGGTAACTGGATAAGGTACTAACCTCTGATTATAGCAGAATATCATTAGGAATCATTGAATGATTTTTTTTGACCAATTGTGTTTGATTTTACCAAGTCTCTGGGCTATCTAGTCTCTGGTTTTTTGTTACCCAAGCAGTGTTGGGTATAGGTTCCTTCTCGGGGAGTGGACCTTAGGTCAAATGAGACATTGGTTGGCTACTTCCACGAGTTCTGTGCCACCATTGCCCTGGCATATTTTCCAGTGCCCTACATTCCCACACCACTTCCAAATGGCCCCCAAATCCCACCTGTCTATTCCCGCAATCTCTCCCTCCATCTCATGCCCACCTCCCATCCACAAGTGCCCTCAATCCACCCATAAAATCTAATCTATTTCCCCCTCTCAGGGAGATCCCTGTGTTCCCCCACCCCAGACCCTTCCTCTTTACATATCCTCCTTTATGGGTCTATAAAGTAGCTTGGTTATCATTTGCTTAAGGCCAAAGATCCCCTTATAAGTGAAACAGAAACTATATTTATTTTTCTGGGTCTGTGTGATGTCACACAGGGTGATTTTGCTTTTTGGTTCCATCCATTTGCCTGCAAATTTCATGATGTCATATTTTTAACTGCTGAGTGATACTCCATTATGTAAATGTACTGCATTTTCTTTGTCCTTTCTTCTATTGAGAGACGTCTAGGTTGCTTCCAGTTTCTGGCTGTTATGAATAAAGCTGCAATGAACACAGTTGAGCAAATGTCCTTGTGGTAGTTTAAAGTGCCCTTTGGGTATATGCCCAAGAGTGGTTAGGGTTTCTTTCACTACAAAGAGACATCAGGACCATGACAACTCTTTTTTTTTTCCAAGACAGGGTTTCTCTGTGTATCTCTGGCTGTCCTGAAACTCACTCTGTAAACCAGGTTAGCCCTGAACTCACAGAGATCTGCCTGCCTCTGCCTCCCTGCGTGCGCTACCGTTGCCTGGATCCATAGCAACTCTTACAAAGGAAAGCATTTAATTGAGAGTGGATTACAGCTCAGAGGTTTAGACCATCATCACCATGGCAGCATGATGCAAGAGAGATAGTTGAGAGTTCTATGTCTGGATCTGAAGAGGAAGGAAGAGACAGCCATCAACTAGGCCTGGCTTGAGCATCTGAAACCTCAAAGCCCACCCACAATGTTACACTTCCTCCAACAAGGTCATACCCACGCCAACAAGGCCACACCTCTTAATAGTGCCACACTTCCTAGGACCTATGGGGTCCATTTTTAGTCAAACCACCACAGTGGTATAGCTGGATCTTGAAGTAGATCAATTCTCAACTTTCTGAGGAACCGCCGTATTGATTTCTACGGTGGTTGCACAACACCCACAGTGGAGGAGGGTCCCCCTTGCTCTGTACTCTCACCAGAATGAGCTGTCACTTGCATTTTTGATCTTAGCCATTCTGACAGGTTTAAGATAGAAACTCAAAGTCATTTTGATTTGCATTTCCCTGATAGCTAAGGGTATTGGGCATTTCTTTAAGTGTTTCTCAGACATTTGAGATTCGTCTATTGAGAATTTTGTCTAGACCTGTACCCCAATTTTTTAATTGAATTATTTGTTTTTTTTGATATCTAGTTTCTTGCATTCCTTATATATTTTGGATATTAGTTCTCTATCATATGTGAATTTGGTTTTTTTTTAAAAAAAACCTTTTCCCATTCCATAGGCTGCCACTTTGTCTGACTGACAGTGTCCTTTGCTCTACAGAAGCTTTTCAGTGTCATTTGATTCCATTTATTAAATGTTGATCTTAGTTCCTGCACTGTCAGTGTTCTGTGCGTCTCCTGTGTCAATGTGTTCAAGACCATTTCCCACTTTGTCTTCTATCAGGTTCATTATATCTGGTTTGATGCTGAGGTCTTTGATCCACTTGGACTTGAGTTTTATGCAGGGTGCAAAATATGGATCTATTTATATTCTTCTACATGCAGATATCAAGTTTGACCATCAGCATTTATTGAAGATGTTGTCTATTTTCCAGTGTGTATTTCTGGCTTCTTTATCAAAAAGCAGGTATCCATATGTGTGTGGATTTACATCTGGGTCTTCGATTTGATTCCATTGATCAAAGTGTTTGTTTTTATGCCAACACTATGCAGTTTTTATTACTACAGCTCTGTAGTAGAGCTTGAAATCAGGGATGGTGAAACTCCCAGAAGTTCTTTTATTGTACAGGATTGTTTTAGTTTTCCTGTTTTTTTTTATATATGAAGTTGAATATTGTCCTTTCAAAGTCTGTAAAGAATTGTGTTGAAATTTT